TCTGCGTCAACGCCTTATCACGCAGTCATTAGTAATCTTTTCAAGGAGTATTTTCGTTCGTCCTACAACTGCCATACAAAAGATCAACACACCGTACCGTCAAGCAGCTTACGGACGGCACATTGTTAACAGTCGACTTCCCTATAGCAAAAATAGGATAATCGCCTAGCGTTATGAGGCCGTGCTTTAATGGGGGTCTTTTTAGTACTTAGTCGTGTTTACCGAAATAGGGCGGTCTAAATATCCTTCTTCTTTTGCAAAACATATTTACTTTGTCAATGAAAGCCAGCACCGTTCCGTTTCAGTGAAAACACGCTGAGGTTGTACCGATAAATAAAATGGACAGAAACTGAATTTTGCAAATTACCGCCCGATTAGCCATACATCCATACTACTTAAAGTTATGAAAAGGACTATAAAGGCTACGACATCCCAGTCTCTAATATCAACGCGTCTAGTCGACCAATCACAACACGGCGTTAGTAAACCGCGTTCGTGTCAGGCTGGCCAACTAGACTTCCCAAAGCACATCACAAGCTCAGTAGACCGTGGTAAAGCTTATATTATCATACTCCTTGACATGCAAAAGGCCTTTGATCAAGTGCCCCATGGTAGACTTTTGATGACCTTGCTTCCAATTTCTTGCTTCTCTTCATAACTTACCGACAGAACCCAAGCAGTCAAGATAGGTGATTACACATCCTGTTGCACCGCAGTGACAAATAGCATCAACCAATGCAGCATTCTGAGACCATTTCTCTTCCTGATGTGCATAAATGTCATTTTTGACAATATTGTAAAGGTTGGTCGTACATGTTTGCGGATGATATGAAGTTATGTACACTTTGATCGCAGAAATCTAGAGTCCATGTTTTGAAATTTACAAACTAAAATGTATGTACTTGAAGGGTTGCGTTGCATTTCAAATATGCGTTACCCGATGAAAGAAGTAATATTTTAGAGAGAGAGGCTGAAGGCAGCGATTACCCGGAGAACAGAACAACCACTAAAACGGGAGCGGACAGAAAGGGGAACTTGAAGGAACGAGACGAAAACGGGGTATGAGCGGTGTGCGGTAGTGAGTCTGAGCCAGGCAGAACCGTGAGGGTATTCGTCTAGAACGCAGTAAATAAGACAGAACCGCCGTTATTGCAATCTCCCGGACCAATCCCAAGCAGAGTGATACATCCACGTTCAAGCAAATCACGAGCTATCGAACGACTCTGCGGCGGTCAGAATGGGACGGTTGGAGGCGGAGATACGGGATGCAATGGGCAGCGAATACTTCATTAAGTGGCCCCCAAAGTCCATGGAGGTGTCGCAAGCGGAAGCCAGGAGAGATGATGCGTCGCTGGAAGGGAACGTGACTCCCGCATACTGTCCCATCACCCGGGGCGAATTAGAAAAGCTTGAGCGGGTGCAGCATGTAGCCACTAGGCTGATTCCCAACTTACGAGGTATGCCATACGAAGACCGATGTAAGAAACTAGGGTTATACACCCTATCTTATCGTCCGCTGAGGGTTGACCTCATCATGACGCACCGAATATTACATCTGGGTGATTACCCCATGTTGAGACAATTACTTCATCTGCGCACACCAACATGCACGCGAGGACACCGGTATAAACTTATCGTCCCGGATTTGAAGCGGGTCGCCCATCAACTCTGTTTCGAACGAAGAGTGGTGAATGTCTGGAACGACCTGCCTCAGCATATAGTAGAAGCGAACACAGTGGCAAAATTCAAGATGCTACTAGACAAACAATTTGCAGAGGCAAAGTACAAAGAGCGAAACGATAAATAAAAAGTTCATGTCCGAAAACGACGAATGATGCAGCTACACAGAGCAACCTCTACTCGCTGCTTCGCACCAGTTCTCAGTTCTCAGTTCTCATTAGTGTACGCCTGCGTGAGTGGTGATATAGCTTGTGATCACGCCAATAAAGATTGTGTTTCATTGCCGCGTCGTTCTCGGTATAATGTCGTTTCATAAAAATGTGATGTAAATGTCCAGCCGCTAATGATTCTTTGGCAAACCCCTTGCAAATGGTAACCAGGTAAGAGACTTAGGGCTTCACTATTCCAGCAGCCTTAACTTCTCCGAACATGTACAATACAAGGTCGCTAAAACCAAGAAAATAATGCACTGTTTTTCAAGCACTTTAGTTTAACAAGTACCAAAATTAAGAGGTATAAGACTAGTGCACGCCCAACATTAGGAGTACTGCAGTATGCCTTTCTGCAATGCAAGCCAGAGTGATACAGCGGCACTAGAGCACATTCAGCTTGCTTTCACAAGACAGAATCTGGACTCCACTCAGCGGTAAACATACTCTGAACGTTGTAAATTGCTGAAGTTAGACCCGATATGGCTGCGTGGGGCATAGCTAAACATATCGGTACTTTTCGATGTCATTCAAGGGCTCATTCGTACACCTGGATACTCTCCAAAACGACAACACAATGAAAGTTAACATATCCCTAATAAAAATACCCACTTGCAGTTTCAGAGTCGCGCACCAACATACTTGCAAAGCTTTTCCTCGGTAAGTATACAGCAATTTGGGATTGTCGCCCACTGTCCATTAGATCACGCACGTCTTCTAACATGTTCTGTGTACAGAGAGATAAACTTCACAGTTCCAAAACCTGCCATACAATTCAATATAAATATCGCAGAGACTGAGGTTTATCTGAGGGGACTAAAAGGAATGTCTGTGATACCTCTCGGTCGTACCTTATAAATCTCCTCTGTCACCTTAGAAGGCAAAGAAGAAAGAAAACAGACCGAAATTCCGTGCCCTCACTGCTCCCAAATTTTTACCCCAACATAACAATCGCAAGGCGCCATACCAATATGGGAGCAGAAGGGAAGCGTAAAACCTAGTCCCCTTTTCCATTCTTCGAACAATGCTATACGCTTTCCTTGGCCATATGGACAAGGCTTTTATGTGTACATGGAAATTAACGACAGAAGATAAACCGTATCCTCGTTTTCACTCCTTAGGCCCCTGTTATATCCTCTCGTTAACCGGCTATACCCATCTCAAGGTCTTCAGGTCCACATAGGAGTTTATGAAGTAGACCAACCGGGTACTCATTCTCTTCTATCCGACGACTGTTACACCGTTCCTCTCCAATTATTCTACAAACAATAATGGTTGTTGTTGTTAACTCTGTCACAGATAAGCATACGCACGTATCAGCTAACTATTAAACATAGAGGTATTATGTACTTAGTTTAACGCTTACTTAAACCAGTGTTTGAGTACTGCCTCCGCTACAGATCACAAAATAGTGGCAGGCGCATTGACGATCTGTGGGAATACCTGCCTGACCATTCTGATGAAAAAGCATCTGGAACATGAGAAGCTAACCTACATGTATCCCGTAGATTTGTTTACTCACTCTATGCTGCCGAACACACCATTCTAACTTGCAGCATGTGTACCCCACAACATCATAGGTTTGTTAAAACTGACACAACCACAACAGTGTTCTTCAGTTGCAAATAGTTTAACCTATTCATCGTGCTATTTTTCCAACGTGTCCCTTCCCCCGGAGACTCGGTTATCTACTGCGAAGTAATTTTCTTATAAACCAGGTTGCTTTTCGTCTTGATTCCATACAAACAATGCTGGTGTACTGGTTATTTTACATAATGAAACAACCATCACTTTAGCTCAAGCCGTTCTCAAGTACTGCGCATCGGTAGCCATTAACTTACCCCTCACTCTGTTGTGAAAACAGACTACACCGCAAGCCAGGCATATGCCAACACATAAATGACACGAAATTGCTAACCTGTAATATCGCGAACTATCAACCCTCCAACATGTGATTGATACTGGGTTTCTTGAGAGACTGCTTCACCAAACTAAGATCAGACGTACCTTATGTATTTACCTAAATAATCAAAATTTGTGGGATCCCTTTGTACGATTTGATCAGACCAACAAAATGGTCCATGTCCCTTATAGTCGAGAAAGAAACAATTTATTTATTTATTTACACATATATGATAGAGTATATTACGGTTGATAGTGTTGCTTAAGACCCAGAATCCGTTCTTGCTTCGGAGGATTGCACAGCTCCTCCGGTTGAAGAGCAGTAGCTAATAGGATCAGGTTGGTATGCACCGCACCTCCTGCCTCATTTCTCTGATTTAGTACTGTGCAGCAACTAGAACCCACTCCTGAACAATATAGATTCGCCCGAATAATGCATATGGGTATGCCTCATACATTTGCTTCATCACTATTCGATTGAAAGACGAATAGTCGGCGGAGAAGATTGCAAATTTAACAAAGTGTACGTGTTACCTGAACGCATGCAGTCTAGCATATGTCAATACTCAACCTAGGTATCCTGAATCTCACACAGGTTATATGGTTATCGCTTTTGGAACTACTTAAAATCTCCTTCCTGTGAGTGGCTTGACGCGCTCTTTATAGTTGGCAGAACTTAGAAGGATATGTAAACAAGGTGTACAGTTTAGTGAATTAATGAAGCCAGCAACATTTGATATTTAGCTGCATCAGTTAGAGCCCCAGAAATAAATCCGACTGGGGATTAGTTAAAACTAGTCAAAACTTCAAGTTTGAGGTGTATTTTATGGTCTGTACACACATGACGACAACTTCCTGACCCCAATGATAACCTCCTAACCGTGGTAACAAGTGTCGGTTTCAGAGCTTGTTGGACTACTGTTGTGGGGTTCGTTGGAAACCCAAGTTCTTGGTTCTAATATCAAGACAGAATATCTCTATGTAAAGAGTGAAAATCATAAGGAGATCTGCTTTGTATTGCAGTGTTGGAATGGAATAACACCTGTTATGTGGCGCTATTCGTCTGAGTGAGCCAATGGGTACCCCCCCCCCCTATGCGCCGGGTACATGACGCTTTGCGCTTGGCATCATTGATCCAGGTGATTGGAATTTTTTCATGTAATTTAAGCAAGTGTCCATGAAACAAATGTATGGGGGAGAAGTTCTTACCTGTTATGCGTTGTGGGCGGATATGAGGCGGGTCGATATATGGGATAGATACACTCATCTGGTTGGACTGATGAACAAAATATGATAAAAGGTCCAAGCAAGTATGTGTCTTCCCGGCACCGGAGCGACCAGTAAAACAAACTGCTTGTTGGCACAGGGAGGGTGAACAGCGGTACTTCGGTTCAAGTGCTCGACTTTGGAGTTTCTGGCGGGAAGATAATTGTTGGAGAACGGAATGATGAAGTCGGGCCAACACTAGCTGAGCGACGGAGAAGACGTGAGCTGGTAACTCACGAAGAGGTTTACTGTTAGTGAACAAGTTCATGACCTGAAAAAGACAAATGGGGTTGGGTTATGCGAACCTGAGACGACTGTGGATCGCTGGGGCACTGAGCATTAGCAAGCCAAACCATATTTCAGATGCAAACTCTAGGACCAAGATTCACTTCAATGGGAATCGCGGTCAACATTGAGATTGCGCGTCACAATTCATCCACACGACGTGCTCTTCAAAATGACCCTCAAAACTCGGCCTGTTTTCAAACCCATGCGAAGAATCATTAACTTTGGTGAGTATGTTGCGGATATGGCTATGGTTGGTCCCAGTTAAGAGGAGGTTGGTGCATCCCAGTCGGTGTTTAGCAGAATGGGACGACATCTACCAGACCTAAATCGGTGACAGAATGCAACCATAGTGACATCGTGGTACGGAAATGGGTGTCAAATTAACCAGGTTGTTAGCTGTTTTGTCGCACGTGAACTGCTTCCGCCCGCTCCGCAGTGAAAGCAAAGGAACTAGTCGGAACTGGGCAACAGTTTTTCGAGAACACAAAGTCATTTGGTGAGCAGTGGCTTTAAATTATTCATCTTCAGACCATAATCACATATAGGGGCCAAAAACTAAGTAACATCAATCAAGTTTGTTAAGGTTACAACGATAAATGTGAACTGCGCGTCAATGGGTTACTTGTGTGTTACGGAGGAAGTTGACCTCCATGTCTTCAGTTTTCGCTGGTTAACGAACCAGAAGTGTGTGAGCTAATTTCCTTTGTGAGCATAAGGAAGGGTTAGACAATCGAATGTAACTTGCCTCGGCCGTAGCAAGTATACGGAGCCGTTGACTTTTCGGTTTGTGTGAAGGAACTTTGTACACTACGCTAAAGGCACGTTTAAGATCCACCTGATGTTCAGCTTCGACGATTTGGGCCAAGACGGAGCTGTTAATGACCCCGTGCCACGGTGATGCAGCCAAAACGGGCAGTGTCCGTTCATGCGTTTGTGAAATTGCCGCGCCGTTTGACTGCTATACGTTGCGCCACGGGCGTACTCGAACTGATAAATCGCCATGGAGTCAGTCAGCATTGGTGAGTTTTTTTGTTTTGTGAACGAAGCAGTGGTTCGTTTGAAAAAGCGCATTTTAAGGCGGCTGCTGTGAATATCGATTAAATTGCGGCTGAAGGATTTCTACTTAACCGCTCATTAGCTAGATCCCCTTTGGAAGATAGCCCTATATTCAGCTCCTTCTTCGATACTGTTAACACTGGTACCGGCTTAGGTTTATCTTGAAAATTCCTTTGTATAAACCTGTCGAGATATCCATTTTCACGCAACCTATTCCCGTGTGAACACCAGTTCAGCTTCAAGGGTGTCTTCCGGGCAGATTCGACGAGATCTCGAAGTAAGACAAAGAAGTAAATTACGCTTATATCTCAGAGAACGAAAATGTGTAAGTTGGTATATTGACCAGTCCAGGTTATTTTTCTGTAGACTTGACCCTGGATGGAGCCATCTGGTCTCCTAGTTAACAACATCAAGATACGGCAGCCGATTCTCGGTTTTTTCCACAAATGAACTGCTCAGGCGTCCAATCAACTGCTCTGTTCGCTTGAAACACGCTATCCGCTTGCTTGCACAATCCTATCACATCTTTCCACTTTTGGGTTCAGCTACGTCGGTGTTGCAGTAGGCTCCGTATGCACTTCCGCCGAGCATCGTCTTTGCTGCCTTTGTCGTTGCGAGTTCTCCGTAAGACGTCAAGTGTTTTGATGCAGGTTCACCTTCTTGTTCCCTGTGTCGTCTCAGCTGCACTCGGTTCCTTCTGATTAGATTCCCTCCGGTATTGACATTATAAGATATTTCTCCAACTTTCGAGGTCACCACTTCTCTCTCCCATTGTTCGCTGACCCCCGGTATTGGTTGGATCCACACTTCGTTATTTACTGATAGCTCCGGTATCGCCCGGGTCCCGCGGTCGTAATACCGTTTCGGATCTGCCATCCATTTTCTTATGCCCCTTTGTAGTTGCTCATGCGATGGCGAGACAGCGTGTAAGAGTTCAGCAGACTCAGGCATTAGGGTTCTGGTCCTTCTGCTGTATAAACGTTGCACTGAACTGGGACCGATGTTCGGTAATGGTGGATTACTAATCTCTAACAACATAACGTACGGATCTTCGTAAGTGGCTATGGCTTTCGACCACAGCGTCTTGGCTTGTTTGACCGCTGCTTCTGCTTTCCCGTTAAACTGACTGTGCTACTAGCTTGTTTCTCGATGCACAAATTCCCACTTGTTCGTAAAGGTCTGGAACCCAGCATTGGTAAATGGAGAGCCATTGTCGGAGATTAGTTCCTCCGGTATTCCGTGTATGGCGAACTGACATCTAAGCTTGTTGATGACTTCTTCCGTGGTGGTAGCCGTGAGTGGATCAATCATAAAATAGTCACTGTAATAGTAAACAGTGTTTAAATGGTTGTCCCGTTGTCACAGAATCAGTCCATCTCTACTTTCTGCCATGGTCGATCTGAAACCTCACGCAACACATTGGTTCCCTGGCTTGGCGAGCCTCGTGGGACCGGCAGGCTGAACAGCTTGATACATGGTCCCGGAAATGACCTGTCATCCTGGGCCAGAATATTATTTTGCGTGCTCTACAAATACTGTAGTTGACACCCAAGTGGTCTCGATGACCTTGTTCTAGCATTTCTTTGCGCAGCGACGGTGGGATCAAAATGCGATTCCATTTAATCAGCAAACCGGCATACACAGTTAGTTTATCCCGAAAGTTGAGGAATGGCATTAATTCCCTCGAAAGTTTGTCTTTTGTAGCTCGCCATCCCCTCAAAAGCACGTCGCGCAACGCAACGTACGTCCTGCCTTCCTCCGTATGAGGCTTTTGCTGAAGATCTGTTGTTACCGCCAGATGTTGTAGGAGATTGACTGCCTCGAGTTCTTTCTGTTGGTGTTCGACCATCAGTAGATGAACTCTCGACATAGCGTCCGCGATTAACATTAGCGTCCCCGGAGTGTACACTGGACCAATGTCGTATTCGTTGGAACCCGATAAGCACATGTTGAGGACATCAAGGAACACTTTGTAACGGTTTGGTAACTATTGACACTGTAATCTTCCTTCCAGATGAGTAGTCCTTGAATCGTTCCATTGCGTAAACGACAGCGAGCATCTCCTTTCCCAACTGCGCATGGCGCCGTTCTGCTATTGTGAGAGCCGGACTGGGGAAATCCAAGGGTTTATCATGCTGCAGGAGAACGGCACCTATTCCGCCTTGGTTGCTGTCAGACTGCACCTCCAAAGATAGAGCTGGATCATATTAACCAAGTACTAATACACAGCTAATAACTCTTGTTGGCTGTAAAGTCTGTTTCCTGCCGTTCTCTCCAACTCCATTTTACACCTTTGTGAGTCAGTCTCCGGATGGGCATCATGACTTCAGCAAGTCTTGACAAGAACCGGCTCAAACATCGCATCCTGCCATTTAAACGACTAACAACCTTGAGGTCCTTAGGTTGTGGCATCTCCTGCACTGCCTTGATTTTTCCGACCTCAATCGCCATGCCCCGGATGTCAGAATGTGTCCTTGAAAAATCACTTCGGGTTTCCGGAGCTCAACTCTCTCGCGTTTGAGCTTTATCTTTTTTAAACGTATCGCGATAAAAATTGGTGCAGATTAGCGTCATGTTTCTGTTCGATTGAACCGTAAGTCAGTACCTCGTCTGCTACACACGTTACACTCTAGGTCGTCAATAGCTTGCAGTAACCTTATTTGAAAAATTTCGCTGGAAACGTTCAGACCAAACGGTCAACTTAACAAGCGAAAATGTCCGAAGGGTGTGGCAAAAGCCGTCAGGAAACTGGATTTCCCCTCTAGAAGCACTTGCTAGAACGCTGATGAGAGATCAGCCTTGGTGAAGTACTTCACCTTAGCCAAACGAGCCAGGACATCTTCTAACATTGGCAGTGTATAGTGTTATCTACGCAAAGCTTTATTCAACGGCTTAGGATCTATGTATAGACGCAAATCGTTCTTTTTCGTAACAACCGCGACTTGGCTAGCCCAGTCCGTCGGCTCGTCAACCTTAGCGATTACGCCCAATTGCGTCAAGTTACTTAATTCGGTGGCGAACTTATCACGTAACGCAAACGGAACCCTAGTAGCTGGTAGCGCAGTCGGTCGTGTTGACGGATCTATTAACAAATGAACGGAACCTACAAACCTCCCAAGCCTTGGTTACACACGGACGGATACTGTTCCCTAACATCTATCGCCGCTTCACGTGCATGCACAAAACGGTCATGGTTAAATTAATAAAGCCAACTTATTGGATGGAATCAATGCCAAGAATCGGGGTGTGCACTTCCTCCACGACCGTGAAATCCAACAGATATGAAGAGCCGTCTTCGTGATTGATCACTTTGATTGTGGCCAAACCTTTCGGCTAGAGCTTAGTACTGTTCTACATACGCAGGACACTCTGATCAGGAAGCACACGAATTCCTGGGCACCGGTTTGCTAAAATTATTTTACTGTGGCACTCGAGTCCAACTGAAAACGCATCCTTTCGTCAACAACCAATAAACTCGCATAGACGCACTTATTTCCTCCTCTCCGCGACATGTTCCTAATTGAATGTTCAGAGTCGGAAGGCGTTGAGTGCATTCACTATCGAAGACTGACGATATTGAGCGAAATAATTCTGTCTGCCGCATTTGGCTGAAATTCGGTCCCACACTAGACATTGCTCGCGATCCTTCAGATGTCGCGCGGCACAGAATTCACAAGTTTCGTGTGTCTTGATAACAAGCAGCGCAGTTTTGTCAGATAAACTGGAAATGGCACATAGCACTACTTTAGCCGGCAATCGCATTTGATAGATGTGGTGTGCTGCTGATGATTCACTGTGACATACATCAAGCCATTGCCTGAGCGATTACTACTGTTGCCGCAACAGCCGCTTGGTGATATTCTCATCATTGGTCCCCAGCACGATTCTATCTCGGATGAGACTTTCAGCCATACAATTGTAAACATT